TCTCTCTCACACTAACTCTGCCTGTCAAAAAACAAAACAAAACAAAAAACAAAAACCATTAAGAAAGATGCTGTTGAGACACCTGCATCCTTTATCAGTGTGCCTGGGTTTAAGTCCTGGATCCACTTCTGATTCCAGCTTCCTGCTAATGCGCACTCTGAGAGAGCAGATGATGGTTCAAGTACTTGGGCCCCTGGCATGCACTTGTGAGATGATGACGGAGTTCCTAGTTTCGGGTTTCAGTCTGTCTCAGCCCTGGCTGTTGTAGCCATTTGGGGGGTGAACCAGCAGTTGGAAGATTTCTCTGTCTGCCTTTCAAATAAGGAATTAAAGTATACAAGGGATGCCATGGTCGATGCCTGGTCCTCTTCATCCCCACAGCCAGCTCGACAGCTGGGGTGGGGCACCCATCGGCTCTGTCTAGGAGTAAACCAAAGGAAAAGCTAGGGCAAGGCATTTTTTGCCTCTTGTTTTCTCTAGACTGTTCTGAATCATACATTCAATCCCACAGGCATTTATTTACTTATTTATCCAAAATTTACTTACTTGAAAGGCATATTGACAGGGAGAGACAGACCTTTCACCCACTGATTGATTCCCCCAATAGGCCAGGCCAATGCAGGAATCTGGAACTCCATCCGGGTCTCCCACGTGGGTGCAGGGTCCAAGCACCCTTAGCAGGCAGCTGGATCAGAAGCAGAGCAGCCAAGACTTGAACTGGAGCTCCGGTATGGGATGCTGATGTCACATACTTACTTGAAAGGGAGGGAGAGGGAGAAGGAGAAGGAGAAAGAATCCATCTGCCATCCACTGGTTGCCTCCCTAAATTCTCAAAACAGCCAGGGCTAGGCCAGGCTGAATCGAGGAGCTGGGAACTCACTCTGAGTTACCCACATGTGTGGCAGGGACCCCAGCACCTGAGCCATCATCTGCCACCTCCCCAGGTGCACAGCTGTAAGAACCGGAATTGGAAGCAGCAGAGTCGGGATGCAAACCCAGGCACAGGCACTCCAGTGTGGCGTCTGGGCATCCCGAGCAGGGCCCCGCCGCTGGCCTGGGACTGACGTACTGAGGAAGACGGCGGCAGTCACGGCCTGTGTGCTGGCAGACGTGGGTGGTCCTAAGGCGTCGAGAACGCTTTCCTTACCCACCAGCGTTCCCTACAGCTCCCTCTAGATATTCTTAAGCTCTAGAAAATCTTAAAAACAGAAACGAGTCAGTTTCCCTCTACTGTTAAACCCCAAATCAAATTTTTAGTTTTTAAGAGTCTATTTATTTGAGAAGGAGAGGGAGGGGGAGGGAGGGAGAGACAGAGGGAGAGATCTCTTCTGGTTCACTCCCCAGATAACCACACAGCCAGGGCTGAGACAGGCTGAAGCTAGGAGCCAGGAACTGCACCCAGGACTCCCACATGGGTAGCGGAGGCCCAAACTCTTGGGCCATCTTTTGCTGCCTTCCCAGGTACATTTAGCAGGAAGCCAGATCAGAAGCAGAGCAGCCGAGACATGAACCAGCACCCCAACATCTGCTACTGGCATCCCCAAAAGCAGCGTAAACCACTGTGCCACAACCCAGGTCCTCCAAATAAGATGTTTACTTTAAGTCAAATATCCATCGTCTAATTAATTATAATCCATTTACACCATTCATTCATAGTTGAAACCACTGTAATTAAACCATTTATAATTTGCTACAATTTTGGATTTTTGAGCTTAAAAGTTATTCTTACTTAAAAATGTGGCTACAAAATCTAACATTTATCTCTGTTGTCATTCCTGTGTCAGTGACTGAGTCTGGGGCACGGGGCAGGCAGACCAGCATCTTCCTGCTATGACTCTCTAAAAAAATGCACTTAAAAGAGTCATTTCTGGGGCTGGCACTGTGACATAGCAGGTAAAGCCACTGCCTGAAATGCTGACATCCCATATGGGTGCCAGTTCCAGTCCTGGCTGTCCCACTTCCCATCCAGCTCTCTGCTATGGCCTGGGATAGCAGCAGAAGATGGCCCGAGTGCTTGGGCCCCTGCACCGGTGTAGGAGACCTGGAAGAAGTTCCTGGCTTTGGGTTTGTGCAGCTCCGGCAGTTGCAGCCATCTGGGGAATGAACCAGCAGATGGAAGACCTCCCTCTCTCTCTGCCTCTCAAATAAATAAACCTTAAAAAAGAAGTCAGTTCTATTTATATGTTCATTTATTTGAAAGCCAAAGGAGTCAAGAAAGATCAATATCAATCTTCCTTCCCTGGTTCATTCCCCAAATGGCTGCGACAGCCCAAGCTAGGCCAGAACAAACCTAGGAGCCAGGAGCTCCATCCAGGTCTCCCACACGCACACAGGGGCCCAAGTCCTTGGGCCCTCCTCTGCTATTTTAAAGATTTATTTTTTTATTTGAAAGCCAGAGAGAGGAGAGGCACAGAGAGAGAGGTCTTCCATCCGCTGGTTCACTCTTCAATTGTCCACAACGGCTGGAGCTACACTGATCCAAAGTCAGGAGCTTCTTCCCGGTCTCCCATGCGGGTGCAGAGGCCCAAGGACTTGGGCCATCTTCTACTGCTTTCCCAGGCCACAGCAGAGAGCTGGACAGGAAGTGGAGCAGCCGGGTCTTGAACCGGCACCCATATGGGATGCCGGTGCTTCAGGCCAGGGCGTTAACCTACTGCACCACAGCGCCGACCCCCTTCCTCTGCTTTTTATTGTGAAAGTCCTAAATTTTACAATGCAGTGTCAGCAGCAGCCACTTACATTTCCACAAATTTCCATCCATTTCTAATCAATTTTGTTTTCCTTAAGCACATTCAAGCACTTAAGGTAAATTTCGATATTAGTTGTCATTTTTGGCTTGCTGAATTCTAGCCCAACACCTACTATTTCTCATTGCTCATGTTCAGGACTCAAGCCACGAAACAGGCAGTGTAGCACAGAGAGGGCAAACGGCCCGGGTTCAGGCCCTTGTACCGTGGTCACCCTTGGGAAGATCTTAAAGTTTTCTAATATTTAAAAATTTTGAAGATTTTACATATTTTAAAAAGATTTATTTGAAAAGCAGTGACAGAGAGAGGGATAGAGATCTTCCATCCACTGGTTCCCTCCCCACATGGCCTCAACAGCCAGTGCTGGACCAGGCTGAAGCCAGGAGCTTCATCTGGGTCTTCCACGTGGGTGCAGGGGCCCAAACACTCGGGCCATCCTTGCTGCTTTCCCAAATGCACCAGTAGGGAGCTGGGTCAGAAGTGGAGCACCCGGGACTCAATCTAGCGTGCGTGTGGGATGCCGATGTCGCAGGCGGTGGCTTTATTGGTGGCACCACCACGCCAGCCGCAGGCAGGATCTTGTCTCTCTGAGGCTCGCTTTTCCCTCTGTGGAGGAAGACGTCACACCTATTCCACAGTGCCGTCGTGAGGAGACAAACCTTGAAGCAGTACCGCGAGCTGTGCATCCCACGTGCCCGTGCAGACTGGGGACAGGTGTCCATCTCCCCGAGGGCTGCAGTCACCGCGTTACACATGCCGGCCACCTTTCGTCTGCCCAAACTCCAAATCCCTCCCTTCTCCCTCCCACTGTGGGAGGTATTTGTTGCCTGTTTCAGGTCCAGCTACGCAAGCATCACTCTTCCAAACAGTGAAAATCCACCAGGGAGGCTGCAGACTGCCGGTCCACACTTAGGGGTGGCTCATCCACGATCCACCATGCACAGGGCCACAGCTAGGAGTCTGGGGGCTGGGGCTCGTGTGCCTGGCGCTGCTGAGTGGCTGCAGCTGACCTAAGCTGGCCCACCAGCCACAGCCCCTGTGTGTGGCATGTCCACAGGAGTTGCTGAGTCCAGGCTTCCCACAGCATGGCTGCAGCGCCAGGCCAGACTTCCTGAGGGAGCTGGGCAGGGCCCTGAAACCGTCTATGACCTGGTGCTGGAAGTCACGCATGCTGCATTCTGCAGGTCAAGGCCGTTAGAAAACCAGGCCTTGGAGTTTTTTTTTTTTTGAAAGGCACGAAGATCATCCCCTAAGTGCCTGCAACAGCCAGGGCTGGGCCAGGCCAAACTAGGAGCTAAGAACTCAGTTCATGTCCCCCACATGGGTGGTAGGCACTCAACTACTGGAGCTACCATCTGAGGCCTCCCAGGGTGCTCATTAGCCAGCATCTGGATCCAGTACTCCGAATGGGGACGCGGGCGTCTTAACCAGCAACCTGGTTCCTCCAAGGGTTTTTGGATTTTTATTTGTAACCAGATTTTTGGTGTCTGAGATGCTTTAAAAAAATCTTTAAAATTGTGGAAAAATGTACACTGTCTTTTGTTTCTGCTTTCCCATAAACTTTGGGCAGGATCTTCATGTTTCTTTCTTTGAAACAAACATGGCCAAAGGGCAACTTAAGAAAGCAGGGAGTTGGCTGGCGCTGTGGCGTAGCGGGTAAAGCTGCCGCCTGCAGTGCCGGCATCCAAGATGGGTGCAGGTTCAAGTCCTGGTTACTCCACTTCCGAGCCAGCTCCCTGCCGTGGTCTGGGAAAGCAGTAGAAGATGGTCCATGTCCTTGGGCCCCTGCACCCATGTGGGAGACCCAGAGGAAGCTCCTGGCTCCTGGCTTTGGACTGGCCCAGCTCTGGCCACTGTGGCCATTTGGGGAGTGAACCAGTGGATGAAGACCTCTCTGCCTCCCTGTAACTCTTTCAAGTAAAATAAATAAATCTTTATCCCCCTCCTTGCCTGTCTGCTGGATATAACAGAATGGGGAAACGGGAGGGGCAGAAGGTGCAGAACCCCCGGCCATCTCGCCAGCACTCGGGGCTTGTGGCAGGCTCCTCCCACCAGATGCACCATTGGTGCTGGTGGGGGCCGACCTGGACTTGGCGTGGGTGCGTGTTGACCGTGTGTATGTGTGGAGGAAAAGCAAAGCACATGGATAAGCGGGGCTGACTCCAGGGCACAGCTGTACAGGGGTTTCCGGGCTGCACTTTGAATGAATTTTATCTTCCTCAAAAAAAAAAAAAAAAAAAAGAGGGCAACAAATTTCAGTTCCTAGTTTTATGTGAACATTTTTTGACAAGATAAATATAAACATTTCATCACTGAATACAAACCTTGCATATTAGCCAAGCAACAAAAATATGGTCTATTTAACCACAGCACACAGAAGCCCGCATCCACGGCTGTGAGATGTCACCCTCAGCCGCGCCTTCTTCCCGGGCACCAAGCCTCCAGCACACGGCCGGGGCCCTCGGGCCACGCGACAGTTCCTCGGCCGGGGAGAGCAGTCACCAGGCCACCTCACCCCGCAGCCGGGGTGAGCATGGGGGGTGGGGGGGATGCGCGTCACCGCTTCTTCACGAACTTCTTTCTGGAAGCGTTGGGATTTAAGCGCCTCCTCCCTCCTCCCAGGGCGCTGTCCCGGAGCTGCAGGGCGGCTGAGCGGCTGCAGATGTCGTTCTCGGCGAAGGGAGACACCCCGGCCACGTAGTCGGGGGCGAACACGTCGGTCTTCTGCCGGGCCTTGCGGGACAGTCGCAGCTGGGGGAAGCGCTGGTCCTCGGTCAGGTGGGGGTTGATGGCGTACTTGCCTCCCTTGGGCATGGGGAGTGAGTACTGCGGACAAGGCAGGGAAGACTGGGGGTCAGGTTCGCGGGGCAGATCCCGGGGCAGGTGGCCAGCGCCAGCCCTGACTGCCTAGTGTGCACCTGCCACGCCCGTCCCCTGTGAGTCTCACCCCAGCTCAGGGCTGAAAGACCCAATGCGGCACTCTGACCAAGGCCAAGGCCGTGAGTACCGTTTCACAGCACCAGTACTGCGTGGTTCTGAAAAGGGCTGAGCACACTAGTGAGGGACCCCAGGGAAGTATTAACCCTCTGAGTCCCATCGTCCTGTTTATAGGATACCTACAGACAAACCGATGGCATATATACCACTAATGGTGACCTGGAGATCCATGTTGGAACGTGTGCAGGGTGGAACACCTGGCATGGACTGGCTTTGTAAGGGCACTAGGAACTGGAGACTGGGGAGGGCTAGGAGGCCCCCTGTGCTGCTGGGCTGCAACTGGAGGTCTAAGCTCGTCAGTTTTTTTTTTTTGGACAGGCAGAGTGGACAGTGAGAGAGAGAGAGACAGAGAGAAAGGTCTTCCTTTGCCGTTGGTTCACCCTCCAATGGCCGCTGTGGCCGGCGCACGGCGCTGATCCGATGGCAGGAGCCAGGTGCTTCTCCTGGTCTCCCATGGGGTGCAGGGCCCAAGCACTTGGGCCATTCTCCACTGCACTCCCTGGCCACAGCAGAGAGCTGGCCTGGAAGAGGGGCAACCGGGACAGAATCCGGCGGCCCGACCGGACTAGAACTCGGTGTGCTGGTGCCGCAAGGCAGAGGATTAGCCTAGTGAGCCACGGCGGTGGCAAGCTCGTCGGTTTTTGATCCTTTAAATTATATTTAGGGCCAACGCCGCGGCTCACTAGGCTAACCCTCCACCTGCAGTGCCGGCACTCTGGGTTCTAGTTCCGGTTGGGGTGCCGGATTCTGTCCCAGTTGCTCCTCTTCCAGGCCAGCTCTCTGCTGTGGCCAGGGAGTGCAGTGGAGGATGGCCCAGGTGCTTGGGCCCCTGCACCCGCATGAGAGATCAGGAAGAAGCTCCTGGTTCCTGGCTTCGGGTCAGAGTGCCGACCATAGTGGCCATTTGGGGGGTGAACCAATGGAAGGAAGACCTTTCTGTCTGTCTCTCTCTAACTCTGCCTGTAAAAAAAAAAAAAATTATATTTAGCTGGGAGGCAGATTCACTCCCCAAATGCCTGTAATGGCTGGGGCTGGGCCAGGCTGAAGCTCAGAGCCAAGAACGTAATTCCACATGGGGAATTCCACATGCGGGAACGCAGTTACTTGAGCCATTATCACTGCCTCCCAGGGTCCCCATGAGCAGGAAGCTGGAGTCAGGAACAAGGAACAGAACCCAGGTACCGTGTCCTACCTGGTAGGCCAAATGCTTGTTGCCGATGGTTTTCAGTGTGGATATGGACATAAAAATGGACACATGCATTTCCCATCTCTGTCCACTGAGGGCCCAGAGACAATGAGGCCAGGCCGAGGAATGTAACCAGTGCATGTTTGCTTCTAAAAAGCACTTTCCATAAAGCACCAGAGCTCCTCTGACCCTGTCGGGGGCAGAACAAATCAGCCTCGGAACATTCTGCTGTGCCAGAAAGTCGGAAAGCGCTCAAAGAATAACTGGGATGTGTTAAAAGCACAGAGGAGCCAGCTCGAAGGGACAATGAGCCTCAAAATCATGATGGTGGCGAATCACAGCCTACAGAGTGAGATAAAAATCAGCAAGCTCCTCCATGGATACTGCCTGGGAACAGAGAAAGCACCTCCTTACACGAAGAACTGATCAAGGTGACTACTCCCGTACCGCCCCACAAGCGAATCAGCTCCAAGTAGGGCAGGTACGGCAGAACCCGCCGTAACCGGGCGATCAGGTCCCACCACCAAAACACCTTAACAGCCTAGCAGCATACACCCTCAGAGATGCACCAAGGACTCAACAGCCTTTCTGGGGTGTTCCTGCCCGAAGTGCACAGTCTGAATCCAATCATGAGGAAGCAGCAGATGGACCCACACAGAGGAACGTTCTACAAGACCACTGCTGTGCTCTCCAACAATGCCAAGGTCACGGGAGCAGGCGGTTGGTGCAGCACTCGGGACACCTCTGAGACGCCTACTGTGCTGTGCTGGAATGCTGAGGTTCAGGTCCCGGCTTGGTTCCAACTCTAACTTCCTGCTAATGAGCAGCCTGGGAGGCAGTGACGGCTCAGCACCTGGGTCCCTGCCACCGGTGGTGGTGGTGGTGGTGGTGGTGGGACACAGACTGAGTTCCTGGCTTCTGGCTTTGGCCTTTCCCAGCCCATACAATTTGTCCACAACACACATTTCCCATAAGCTTGAAGATTCCATGGATGCGTGGATTTCAAATTGTTGCACACCAAAAAAACTTACCGTTTAATTCCATTTTTCCCATGAACTTCTGGAAGTGCCCATATATGGAGAGAGGATGAAAGCCTCCTCTCCCCCTATTTTCTTTTCTTATTTTTTTCCAATTTCTTGGAACAAACCCGTGGTGGTGTGCACTCAGGCCAGCCTCTCCCAGGTACTGAGTTTCCACGCTCCGCCCCTCTGGCCCACAAAGCTTATGCAGCTCCTGCCGTTGCTTCAAAGCCTGCACAAACCCAACCTCCTGCACAACCCAATGAAGCCCACACGGGGCAGCTGGCATTTCCTGTGGCAATGACCCTGTCTGAGTTGACTATAACCAGCAGGAGGCCGCACACTCCCCACCTGTTGGGGTCCCCAGACCTCAGGCTTTCGACGACCAGGGTCGTCAGGGGGAGGAGGTGGCCACTCACCCGCAGGCCTCGGGGGTTCAGCACCTTGGGGTTGCGTGAGAAGTGCATGTGCAGGGTGCCGTCGTCACTGACGGTCACGGACACTTTCTTCAGGGTCTTGTTCCCGCAGTGGGCACAGAACACTCGGTTCATGTCAGACGTTGTCCTGGGAGACACAAAAGGAGATGTGGGAACCACAGGCGGCGAACCCCAACTGTGGAGCAGGAGGGCACACTCAGGGGAAGGCTGACAGGCATCTCCCCTTCCCCTCCTCAGGGGAAGGACCAGGGACGCCAGGGCCAAGTCAGCCGTGCGGATGTGCAGGACGCTGTTACATCGAGTGTGGTGGGCACCGCCCAGCACCCCCTCCAAGCTCAACTACAACCACGCCCCCACTCTGCAGATGGGAACGTGAAGGTCCTTGCTCCAAGTGGCAGAGAGGCCGTCTGGCTCGAGCAGATGCTCTTAGCACTGGGCCTTTCCTAGATCCTTACTCCAGCTCCAACTACCCTGCCCCCAGATGTCAGCCAGGGTGTGCGCTCAGGAGCAGCAACAACGAACGAGTGACACGGGAGACACTAGACCCGCTGCTGCCTGGGCCAGGTCCTGGCTCCTGCCTTCCCAGCTTCCTGCTGCAACGCCTCAGGGACTGGGGCCTCTGCCAACTCTGTGGGAGCCCCGAGGGAGCTCCAGGCTCCCGGCTTCAGGGCCCCACCGGCAGTGGGCGTCTGGGGAGTGACCAGCAGATGGAAGGTCGCCCTCTTTGCCTTTCAAACAAACATTTAAAAAACGAGAAAGAAAAGCCCGGCCCTGCCCCGAGATCTGAGGGTGGCCACTGAAGCCTCGCCTGCCTCCTGTCTGCTGAAGCCAGTGATTCCCGTCGAGGGCAGGGGGAGAGCTCGTCACTCCGCTGAGTCGCCCGATCGTGAGCTCAGCGCCTCCACACACATGCTGAGGGCTAATTATTCCACACAAGGAGCGCAGTCACTGGGCTCATCTCACAAGAACAGGGAACAGTTCACGTGTTTGCAAGAATGCGTGCTAACTCGGGAACCTAGGACTTCCGTGACAGTCCTAGACAGTGGGAGAGATGAGATTAGGTGGAGCAAAGAGCTCGGCGGCCGTGAACCCAGTGCACTGAAGCTCTGGGAGCGTGACCAGCTGCGGGAAGGTTTCCGAGAACAGAGGCGGCCTTGGGAGTAGCTCTCCCTCTCCCTCTCCCTCATGGTGGCAGGAGTGACTGGGTACTAGTGAGCCCCCTGGAGAACAGACCCCACCCCGGCACCTCTCCTAACAGTGCAAAAGCTCTGGGCACCCAGTGGGACAGCGCACACCTCACCAGCTGGCCTATTTGGAGGCCGCCAGGACCAGACTGAACCTGTAGAGGGGCTGGAAGCCGCCCAAGGGCCACACATGTCAACTAAAGATATAGGCACCTCTTCCCCTCCAACAGAGGGTCTCCAGGACCCACAAGGAGTCCGAAATGACCTGGAAGAACTGAGCTCACCCCGCAGCACTCGCGATGTGCCAGCCACCACACTCAGCCGTGTGACTGATCTCCCAGCTCCCCCAACCTCTTCAACTTCAAGAACCCAAAGCACAGAGAAGGTAGCTAACTATTGCCAATCTGCACAGGCAGGAGACAGACCCTGGACCTGAACCCATGGCCTCTGGATTCAGAGTCACTATCTGGTGGTTCAAGTTTTTTAAAGACATGCTATAGAAGAATGAAATGACTGCCACACATCCATCACGCAGCTTCAACTATCAATTTAGGGTCAATCTTGTTTCAGATAAACCCCCACTCCTTCCACTTGTGTGTTATCTTAAAGCAAATCCGGACACCACTCCCTCTGTGAACATTACAGTATGCATCTCTGAAGCAGGGTTCTGGGGCAAGCCCTGGGCCTTGTGGTTAAGACGCTGGCGTCCCATGTTCAAGTTCAAGTTCTGGCTCTACTTCCTATCTAGCTTCTTGCTAATGAAAACCCTGGGAGGGAGCACGTGATGGCCCAAGCACTTGGTTCCCTGCCACCAGTATGCGAGACCTGTACTGAGTTCCTGGTTTCGGCCTGGTCCAGCCCCAGCAGCTGTGGCCATGTGGGGGGCTCTTCCTAACAAACGAGTGAACAGTAAGGATGACGGTTCTCTGTTCCAGAACCCACTTCTTTAAACCCAGGCCCCTAGGTGGGAGGTGCCTTGCAGCTCAGTCCTGGGGGCTTCCACGCTGTGGGAGAGGAGAGCCTAGGCCACACAGAAATGACGGATGGAAGGAACAGATGTACAGCAGGGTCTCCTCAAAAAGTCTGCAGGGGGCACCGGGCCCAGGGGTTCGGCGACTCACCTGAAACAGCCGTGGCAGCGCAAGATGTAGCTCCGGGCCTCGCGGATCAGCATGCCGTTCACCGCCAGCACGTGCAGTCCCATCTGCAGCAGAACGTTCTACGGCCGACAGTGAGAGAAGAACTGAGCCACGTTTCTCTTCACGTGACTCTGCAATCGCATTGAAGCGCTGCACACACCCCGGCTGGCTCATGAGCCTTGGCTAAGGACAAGTCAGGCTGGGACCCAGAGCTCCCTCGAACTGTGCACGCCAGGGCCCGAGCACCCCATCAGCAACGTCTGAACGCACACATTCACCGTGGCGGGGCAGCAGACCCTCTCGGGTTTCCAGGTCCCTAACTGAGCTCAGGAAATGATGCCCCCGAGAGAAAACAGATCATGGGTTTTAAACACTAAACACCGCACACAAATCCTGTCTCAGGCCCACAGCCCTGGCCCACCTGCATGGCGAAGTCTGTGGTCACACAGCCAACTCGCACGTCCTTGGGGTCGTCACACTGCTCCAGCTCCTGCTGGATCTGCTTGATGTTGCTGGGGGTTATCCACCCACCCCCGTCGTCATCACTGTCCTCTTTGCTCTCTTCAAATCCATTCTCTTCCTCCTCCTCACCTCCGTCCATCTGCAACATCAACCGAATCCATGACTTCCGGCCCAGAGCAGCAGTGGGCAGCGGCTGCTGTGTCGTCAGCAGAGGACAAGCTGAGCCTTACCAGCAGCTCCTGGAGCTCCTGGTCGATGTTAGGCAGCGGGTTTCTCCAGAACACAAAGGAGCTGAATTCCAGGTCCTCTGGCTCGCTGGCTTGGTGTCCACGATCCACAGTGTCTTGTGGGCATTTGGGCTGAGATGAAAGGAAATCATGTTTTTTGACAGGCAGAGTTAGACAGTGAGAGTGAGAGAGAGAGAGGGAGAAAGGTCTTCCTTCCGTTGGTTCACCCCCCAAATGGCCACCATGGCCGGTGCACTGCACCAATCCGAAGCCAGGAGCCAGGTGCTTCTCCTGGTCTCCCATGGGGTGCAGGGCCCAAGCACTTGGGCCATCCTCCACTGCACTCCCTGGCCACAGCAGAGAGCTGGCCTGGAAGAGGGGCAACCGGGACAGAATCCGGCGCCCCCACTGGAATTAGAACCCGGTGTGCCGGTGCCACAGGCGGAGGATTAGCCAAGTGAGCCGCGGCGCCAGCCCAGGAAAAAAAGGAAAAGTTACAGATGAAATCACATGACACGCAGGTCTGACCGGACAGGGCTGGGCAAATGACCTCTCAGTCCTGGAACACTGGGTTTACCGTGAGCAGCGATGGGGATGGGACACGGGACAGACAGGAGCCCCAGAAACACGGAATTACCTTAGAAGGCAGGTGGAACCCCAAAATGTTGACAGGAGCTTCTGGGTGCCGAATTGAGGAGCTCACTTTAGCCTTAAAAAGATAATAAAATTTTTAATACCAGAACAGAGCAAGAAAATATACACTAGAAAACCAACATCATAGGGTAACTTAAAAAAAAAAAGTATTTTCTCCTGGCTATTAAAAGACATCCACTGCTTAAAAACATTGGGAAATATATATATATATATATATACATATAAAGAAAATGACAATCTTCAGTGAGCCCAATTCTACTAAGTAGCCGCTTTGGGATATGTGTTTTGTGCCATTAGAGGTGACAGCAGGGAACATTATCTCTAACACCCAGAAGAATCTCCAGTTACTTAGGATCAACACAGAAGACCCTGGAATTACTGACCAAAGAACATACTACTTTAAAGCTTTTGATATAAAAATGCCTAACTCCTGCCAAAACACTGCAGGAAAGGGTGATATTTACAAGTCAAGAGTGGATGGAAAAAAAAATAAAAAATAAAGACTGGATGGATGCAACAGAAAACCAGCAGCCAGGGACGCTGCGTACAGACTTCACGTAAAACCATTCCTTCAGCAGCACCTGCCCAAGCATTCGGATCAAGTCTGGACTCCGGGGTCACTCTCTGGAGGACTGGAACCCTGGCAGAAAGCAAGTGGGGGCTGTCCTGACTCGTACAGGAACCGGAGCCCATGGTGGCCCTGGAGACTTTAGGCCACGACCAAGAACTCTGTTAGGGCAGGCAGGGGAGTGGAGTGAGCGAAACCACCACCTGGGACCCCAACATGCCTCTGCTCTGCTTCCGATCCACTTTCTTGCCATTGCTCCTAGGAGGCAGCAGATCACGGCTCAAGTGTTTGGGCCCCTGCTGCCCACGCGGGAGACCAGCATGGAGTTTTAGGCTCCTGGCTTTGGCTTGACCTGGCCTAGCTGTTGCAGACATTTGGGGAATGAACCAGCAGATGGACTATATGTATTTCTCTCTCTCTCTGGCTTTCAAATAGATTTTAAAAAAGTTCTTTGTCATTACTATTTGAAATGACTTATTTGGCTCCCCAAATCATCTGACTAGAAACAGCCAATGGGACCTGACACAAACCCATCAGTCTCTCCAACTGCCAGCTTAGTCTCAGAAAGTACAGCCTTGAAAGCGGCAAGCACTTAGTGTTCCTGATTTCAAGAAACAGTCAAACTAGTTCTACTCTTGCATTTTCCAAGTGTAAATGATTCTCCCCCAAACTCTACAAATCAAGACCCTGAGACACATCTGTAACCTGTAACGTATGAACCTTATTTGGCTCCTGATCCAAAAAATTAACATTTATGAAGTAAGTGGCAAAGGTGGACGCTGCCTGGCTATTTGATGATGTGAGAGATGATATTTATTTTGTGTAGAGGTGTGTTTTTTTGTTTTGTTTTTTTGACAGGCAGAGATAGAGAGGAAGGACTTCCCTCCATTGGTTCACCCTCCAAATGGCTGCTACGGCCGGCGCGCTGCACCGATCTGAATCCAGGAGCCAGGTGCTTCCTCCTGGTCTCCCGTGCGGGTGCAGGGCCCAAGCACTTGGGCCATCCTCCACTGCCTTCCTGGGCCACAGCAGAGAGCTGGACAGGAAGAGGAGCAGCTGGGACTAGAACCCGGCGCCCATAGGGAATGCCGACGCTGCTGGCGGAGGATTAGCCAAGTGAGCCATGGTGCCGGCCAAGATTTTTTTTTTTTAAGAAGTCTTATTTTTAGAAACATACCCAGAAATAGCCATCAATGCAATAACCTATGGTGTCTGAGCTCAAAATCCTTTGGGCTGGGGGTCAGCACAGATGAAAACAGAGCCCTGGGAAGGTTAGTGCAGCGCCGACTGGCGGGCGGCCACACCCGTCTGTCTGTAGAGCCCGCCCTCCGGGTTTACCTTTTCCGGTTCTTGCTTTAGGTGAGACACCCCAACAAACTCTGCTTCCAGCTGGTAAGTGAGCGCCAGCACCTGGATATCCGTGGCAGAGAGGCTGGGGTAGTCTCCGGTTTTCTTTGAAAACTCAGTCACTGTAAAGCAGATTTACAACTTCAGTTAGGACGCAAACCCAGCGACTTCGGGCATCGACAAGGAAGGTGTCCAAAGAATTCCATACAGTCACCACTGGGGGACAAAACCTCCACACTGGGATCCTGGCCTGTTTCTGCTCATAGCTGACAAATCTGTCGTCACACCAGGAGTCACGCCAGCCAGGCGCACCATAACACCGTGTCAAGTACAGAGAACGGACAGAACACAGCCTTCACTCAGTCAGTGCAAGATTTGCACACGACGCGCGTTCTTTATAGAAATTTTGCTATCCTACAGGTACTTCAAAAATTTCGTAGAAGATCAAAGAGAAGTCTGTTTCGATGCAAAAACATGGAAACAGTCACGCACATGTAGCGCCTTCAAAATGCTCATGGAAAATGTGTATCGTGGGAAAACTTCGCAAGGATTCCCCTGGGGACATCAACGATGAACACAGTGCAATCGTCTGGATTTTACTGGCAAACTGTGGTACAAGAGGCTTGAGCCTCGCCTGGGATGCCCACATCAGAGTGCCTGGTTCGAGTCCCGGCTCCTCCACGCCTCCTGCTAACGCGCCTGGGCAGCGGCAGGTGATGGCCAAAGTCCCTGAGTCCTGGCCACCAGGTGGGACACGGGGGGGAGAAGTTCCTGTCTCCTGGCTGTGGCCTCGTGCAGTCCTGGATGCTCGGGGAGTGAACCCGTGGGCTTAAGGTCTCTTTCTGTCGCTCTAGCTTTCGAATAAACAAATCCTAACAATTCTAACATGAACAGAAAGACATGGGCTGCACTGGCACAAGGCACAGCCAGCACAGGCTCACGACCCAGGTAGAGGTGACCCGGCCGGCGGGGTGCAGGGAGCCCCCAGGCAGGCGACCACGGGCGCCTCGTCGGAGAGGAGACCCCCCCCCCGGACGCCCCCCGGGACGCGCCGCCGCCGCCGCCGCCGCCGCCGCCGCACGGAGCAGCCCCCGGCCGGCTCCCCGCCTCTCACTCACCCAGGCGCACGTACTCCGGGAAGGGCTCCTTGAACCGCAGCTCGTAGGGCAGCACTGCGAGCCGCCGGCGCGTGGCCTTGTCCCGGATCTCGGTGACTACCTCGCGGATGGTGTAGATGTTCTTCCCGATGTCCTGCGCGGAGACCGGCTCGTCCCATACCCGCCCGACTTCACGCGCCCCCTCAGCCCGGGCCCCGCTCTCCGCTCCCCGCCGGCCGGAGCTCCCCGTACCTGCAGAGCCGCGTCCCGCAGGAACGCCCCGGCGTCCGCCACGACGTGGTCCACAGGCGCCATTTTGGCAGGCGAGCGCGTAGCACGCATGCGCGCGAAGCTTCCGCCCGTCGCTGCGTCCCGATCCCGGCCTCTGTGACCCGGGGAAGGCGGTGGAGGTTGAAGGGCGCCACCTGGCGGCTGTGCCCGTATCTCCCGGCTCCGCGCGCCCAGGGACACCTGAGGCAATCCCCTCCTTGGGGGCTACTTTTACTTTTTTGCCCCTAAAATTTATTTACTTTTATTAAGGCGAGAGGCAAAGAGAGCTTCCATCCGCTGGTTCACGCCTCAAATAGCGAGGGTCGGCCAGGCCCACACCAGGTGCCAGAAACTGCACCCTAGTCTCACCTGTATAGGTGGCAGGAACCCAAGTACTGGGGCCGTCATTTGCTGCCTTCCCAGGCTCATTGGCAGGGAGCTGATCTGAAGCGGGGGTGGGGGGTGGGGGGGAGATGGGATATGGACTCCCAAGCAGGGACTTAAGCCCCTGTGCCTCTGTCTCAACACCCATCCCTTCTTTGCCTTTTTTTTTTTTTTTTTTAAGTATTTATTCGAAAGTCGGAGTTACAGAGGGAGTGAGAGAAAGAGACCATCCACCTGCTGGTTCATTCCCTAAATGGCCACAAGGACTGGAGCTGGGCCTATCCGAAGCCAGGAGCTCCTTCTGAGTCGCCCACGTGGGTGCAGGGGCCTAAACACTTGGGGGCCATCTTTTGCTGCTTTCCCAGGCCATTAGCAGAGAGCTGGATCTGAAGTGGAGCAGCCAGGACTCAAGCCGGTGCCCAAATGGGATGTGGGCGCTGCAGGCAGAAGCTTAACATACTACTCCACAGCACCTGCCCCTCCTCCTTTGCTTTTAAGTGTGACATTTCGGGGCCAGCTTTGGCCACAGTTGACAACACCAGTGGCCCAAATGGGCGCTGGTTCCAGCCCCAGCAACTTGGCTTTCCAGCCAGATCCCTGCTAATGTTCCTGTGAAGAGAGCAGAAGATGACCTGAGAACTTGGGCCCGTGTCACCCACATGAGAGACCCAGATGGAGTTCCAGGCTCCTGGCTTTGGCCTGGCTCCTGCCATTTTGGCTGTTTGGGGAGTGAATCAGCGGATGGAAGATCTTACTCTGTCTTGGTAACTCTGCCTTTCAAATAATTAATAAATAAATAAATAAATAAATATTTTTAAATGGTAAATGTGTACATGTCCTCATGATTGTAAGTCAATACAGATAACCCAGGGCCGGTGCTGTGGCACAGTAGGTAAAGCTGCCGCCTGCAGTGCCGGCATCCCATATGGGCGCCAGTTCGAGTCCTGGCTGTTCCTCTTCCAATCCAGCTCTCTGCTATGGCCTGGGAAAGCAGTAGAAGATGGCCCAAGTCCTTGGGCTCCTGCACTCATGGGGGAGACCCGGAAGAAGCCCCTGACTCCTGGTTTCTGACTGGTGCAGCTCTGACCATTGTGGCCATCTGGGGAGTGAACCAGCAGATGGAAGACCCCTCTCTCTCTCTGTTTCTGCCTCTCTGTAACTCTGCGTTTCAAATAAAAATAAATAAATCTTAAAAAAAAAAAAAAAGGTGGGAGCTGAGCAAGGAGTGAGGTCTCTGGATTTGTCCACAGTGTGTGTGGCCTTTCTTTGGTCATCAAGAGGAGGTTGGCATGCTCTGAAAATGCTGTCATGGCCAGCCTGTCGGGGTCTGCAGGTGCACGTCCTGTCGCTTTGTTTGATCAGGACCTTGAGTTCCTGTGAAGCTCTGGGAACAAAGTGTAGCGATAGGATGTCAACCGTGGAGGTGCTAATTGAATTTTTTTCTGTGATTTGGGGTCTTGCAGAGCTGGCCTGATCCTTGTGTCAGTCTCTTCATTTGGTGAGTTAATTTTTTAGTGAAGAATTGACTTGGGATCATCAGAGAGAAGACAGAGGAACTGCAAGCTGAGGGAGAGAAACTGATAAGTCTGCATCAGAGGCACAAAGGGCAGGTGCTTTTTTTTTTTTTTTAAGATTTATTTATTGGGGCCACCGCTGTAGCTCTGCAGGTTAAAGCCCCGGGCTGCAGCACTAGCATCCCATATGAGCACCGGTTTGAGTCCTGGCTGTTTCACTTCCAATCCAGCTCCCTGTTAATATGCCTGGGAAAGCAGCGGAGGATGGCCCAAGAGCTTGGGCGCCTGTACCTATGTGGGAGATCCAGAAGAAGCTTTTGGCTTCTGGCTTTGGCCTGGCTCAGTCCTGGCTGGTGCAGCCATTTGAGGAGTGAAACAGAGGATGGAAAATCTATCTCCCTATATATAAATCTTTCAAATAAATAAATCTTTTAAAAACATTTATAAGGCAGAGTTAGAGAGAGAGGGAGAGACAGAGAGATATTCCATCTGCTGGTCCACTCCCCAGATGGCTGCAATGGCCCTAGGTGGGCTAGCCCAAAGCCAGGAACCAGAAGCTTCTTCCAGGTTTCCCATGTGGGCCATCTTCCTCTGCTTTCCCAGGCACATTAGCAGGGAGCGGATCAGAAATGGAGCAGCCAGGACTTGAACCAACACCAATATGGATGCTGGTACTGCAGGTGGAGGTTTGACCCAATACACCACAATGCTAGCTCTTAGCTGCATATTGACCATTGATTATGAACCCATAACAGAGGGCCAGGATCTCTTAGTTTTTCCCCAGATTTATTTTATTTATTGGCAAGGCAAAATGATAGAGAAAGAGGAGAGACAGAGGGAAAGAGATCTTCTATCTGCTGGTTCACTCCCAAAATGACTGCAACAGTCAAGGCTGGGCCAGGCCAAAGCTAGGAGCCCAGAACTCCCTCTGGGTCTCCCATGTGGGTGGCAGGGGCCCAAGCACTTGGGCCATCCTCTGCGGCCTTCCCAGGTGCCTTAGCAGGCAGGTGGGTCAGAAGCAGAGCAACTGAGACTGGAATCAGTGCTGTGATATGGGATGCCACTGTCACAGGCACTGGTTTAACTTGCTTTCCCACAACAGCGGCCCCATCTTAAGTCTTTTAATAGCTTGACTCCGCCTTCCTGAGCGAGGCACGTAATTTGTGAGGATACAGTTCCTTGCTGAGTCAAAATGAGGGGGTGTTGCGTGACTTCCATGAGTTCCTTTCAAACCTAGATTCTGTAATGATGATGTCTGGCCTGTTGCACGCTGGTGAACTTGGCCGAACGTTGACTTGGGTCTTCAGTCATCTCCGCCCAAGCTTTCTTCTTCAGGTCTTTGCTGCAGCGTCACCCCTCGCTGTCACTTCCCTCTCCTGCCGCATGCCCTTTCACAACAACCCAGTGCCTGCCCTCCCTTCCTGCGCATCTTTCTTACCAACCTCCACAAGCCCCCTGTGCGACCTACCCTGAAACAGCGTGGCTGACGGCCATTTCCGGTTTTCTACTTCCCAGTATCTTTTTTTACTTGTCTTTAGAAACTGGTGTTATTTTCCCTCACCCTCACTTCCATTTCTTTTTAAAAGATTTAATTATTTTACTTGAAAGTCAGAGTTGGGGGGGGGGGTGGTTTCCATCCACTGGTTCACTCCCCAGATGGCTACAATGGCTGATCTGAAGCCAGGAGCCAGGAGCTTCCTCTGGGTTTCCCATGTGGGTGCAGGGGTCCAAGCACTTGGGCCATCTTCTACTGCTTTCCCAGGCCATAGCAGAGAACTGGATTGGAAGAGAAGCAGCTGGGACTAGAACCGGCGCCCGTATGGGTTGCCAGTGCTTCAGGCCAGGGCTTTAACCTGCTGTGCCACAGCGCCGGCCCCTACCTCACTTCCATTTTTACCTCAGAGACTGTGCCGAGCAGCTTAAGACCACTCAGTGGTTGCTGCCACCTTCTTCGGGGGGCCTGGGCAGGCGGAGCTGCAGGCCAGTCTCCAGCAGTCTCCAGTGGCGAGCTGTTGGGTAGGCACGGAGGGCACCTGCAGGCTTGCCGAGCTGTCTGCCACCTCAGGCTGAGCAGCGGCGAACTCAGGAGCTGCCGTCTGTTCACCCTGAAATTCCTCCTTGTCACGCAGCGTTTCCAGCCTGCTCTTCCGTTTCAATCTCTATAGTAGAGACCCGGCGTGAGATGGTACCACGCATGCGCAGAACCTCCCAGGCCAGCATCCACCACCGGGGAGCCGCTGAGTGTGCTTCCTTGTTGTTGCATGGGATGGCAATGTCCACATGGCACAGAGGAGAATCTGTGTAGCAGTGGTAGGCAGGTTCACGTAAGGTGCCTCTGGGACAGGCAAGTGGTCAGCCCCAGGATTAGTAACCACCAGAGGACATGGCTCCCGCAAGGCTGCCTGGATCCGGTTAGTGACGGTTCCAGGTGCAAAGTGGCCAGCAATAGGAATAGCTCCGGTGGCAGCGCAGCCCTGTGGCCAGTGTCCTGGGAGGGTGTCACACGGACACCAGCAGGGTCTGCAATGGCAGCAGTGCCACCAGCCACCAACAGAAGCTTCTCGCAAGCCCTCTCCTGATGTATGATATAGACGCCACACTTTTCCTCTTGTAGGTGCACAGTTCCACTTGGAAGCCAAGGATGCTAGCAGCTATGTGGGTTCCTGCAGCAAGGAATTTGAGGACAACCTCCTCCTTCATTTTTCGGGACCTCAAGGGCTTGGGACATTGTCACAGCTTCCCTTCAAGTTACACTGCAAATCAAGAAAATGCCATGTGGACCCCTCTCCAGGTAGGCCAGAAAGGCAGTCTCAGTTTTTTGGTTTTTATTTTTAAGCCTTCTCAGTTCAGTTCCTCTGCAGAGTTTTTTGTTTTTTTTTTTTGTTTGTTTTTTTTTTTTTTTTTTTTTTTTTTTTTTTTTTAGATTAATTTATTCGAAAAGGAGAGAGAGATTTCCACCTGCCGGTTCACTCCTCAAATAACTGCAACAGCTAGGGCTGGTCCAGGCAAAAGACAGGAGCCAGGAACTCCATCTGGGTGTCCCATGCAAGGGGCAGGGGTGCAAGCACTTGGACCACCTTCTGCTGCTTCGCAGGCACATTGGTAGGGCGCTGGATTGGAAGCGGAGCAGGTGGGGACTTGAACTGGCACTCATACTGGGTGTCAGTGTTGCAGGTGGCAACTTAAGTTGCCCCACCACAATGCAA